AGAGTTCCAGAAAAACATCTATTTCTGCTTTATTGACTATGCCAAAGCCTTTGACTGTGTGGATCACAATATGCTGTCTAGGTGGGTCATAACTTTCCTTCCAAGGAGTAAGCGTCTTTTATGATTTCATGGCTGCAATCGCCATCTGTAGTGATTTTCGACCCCCCAAAACAAAAGTTAGCTACTGTTTTCACTGTTTCCCCAATATTTGCCATAAAGTGATGGGACCGGATGCCATGATCTTATTTTTCTGAATGTTGAGCTTTAAGCCAACTTTTTTACTCTCCTCTTTCACTTTCAGCAGGAGGCTCTTTAGTTCTTCTTCACTTTCTGCCATAAGGGTGGTGTCATCTGCATATCTGAGGTTATTGATATTTCTCCTGGCAATCTTGATTCCAGCTTGTGCTTCCTCCAGTCCAGCGTTTCTCATGATGTACTCTGCATGTAAGTTAAATAAGCAGGATGACAATATACAGCTTTGATATACTCCTTTCCTGATTTGGAACCAGTCTGCTGTTTCATGTCCAGTTCTAACTGTTGCTTCCTGACCTGCATACAGTTTTCTCAAGAGGCAGGTCCGGTGGTCTGATATTCCCATCTCTTTCAGAATTTTCCACAGTTTGTTGTGATCTGCACAGTCAAAGGCTTTGGCATAGTCAATAAAAAGCAGAGACTTTACTTAGCCAACAAAGGGCCATCCTTTCAAGGCTATGGTTTTTCCAGTAGTCATGTATGGATGTGAGGATTGGACTATAAAGAAAGCTGAGCGCCGAAGAATTGATGCTTTTGAACTGTGTTGTTAGAGGAGACTCTTGAGAGTCCCTTGGACTTCATGGAGATCCAACCAGTCCATCCTAGAGGAGATCAGTTCTGAGTATTCATTGGAAGGATCGATGCTAAAGCTGAAACTCACAATACTTTGGCCAGCTGATGTGAAGAGCTGAGTCATTTGAAAAGACTCTGATGATGGGAAAGGTTGAAGGTGGGAGGAGAAGGGGACAACAGAAGATGAGATGGTTGGATGGCATAACCGACTCAATGGACATGAGTTTGAGTAAACTCTGGGATTTGGTAATGAACAGGGAGGCTTGGAATGCTGCAGTCCATGGGGTTCAAAGATTCAGAAACGACTGAGCAACTGAACTGAACTGAACAGGACATTACATCCCAAAACAGCAGAATACATAATCTTTTCAAATGCACATGGAAACTTCTCCAGAACAGATCACATGTTAGGCCACACAGAAAGTCTCAAAAAAGTTAAAGGCACATGAAAATATGTACAATAAGGATACTGATAGCTTATGGTGAACGGTGTCGGCTTTGTGATCTCTGAAGAATATTTGGCTTCAGGACCAGGGACCAGGCTTGATCACTCAAGAACTTTTGTGTAGCAGGGTTTTATTAAAGTATGAAAAGGGACAAAGAAAACTTCTGACATAGACATCAGGAGGGGGACAGAGTGCCCTCCTTGCTTGTCTTTAGTGAGGGAATTATATACTTTTTAAATTTATTATTACAGTAAGTCAAAGAATGTCTTAAGGTTGTAAAAATTTTACCAGATCCACTGCCACAATTCACATTTTAGGATAACAGGATTCGAATTTAACAATAGGAAGATCCTCCCAGACCCACTCCCATAACGTGCATTCTAAGAACAGGATTAGTCAGGTTTTCAAGAAGGAAAACTTCCCTGGTGGCTCAGATGGTAGAGCATCTGCCTGCAATGCGGGAGACCAGGGTTCCATCCCTGGGTTGGGAAGATTGCCTGGAGAAGGAAATGGCAACCCACTCCAGTATTCTTGCCTGGAAAATCCCATGGACAGAGGAGCCTGGTAGGCTACACTCCATGGGGTCACAGAGTTGGAGAGGACTTCACTTTCACATTCAAGAAGGAGAAACTTCCCTCAAGCAGGATACATTGTTGTTATATAATATCCTTAGTACAGAGTTTGAACTGAGGTGTTTGTTGTGTAATCACCAGCCCTGGGCTTAAAGAAAGGAAAAAAAAAGTTTTATGTTACCAAGACTAAGGAATGTAGAGAGAAAAAGTCCTTTCTTCCTCTTTGAGAATTCCAGACCTCTTTCCCCCTCAGGAAACCCCCAACTTCTTATCAACCTGCCTAAGAATTGACTCTCTTATTGTAGTTGACTTTCTCAATACCTTATTGTGTTAAAATGGGGTGTTAAAGTCCCCTACTCTTAAGTATTATTGTCAATTTCTTCTTTTGTGTCTGTTAGTATTTGCTTTATATTTTTAGGTGCTGTATAATGAGTGCATGCATGCTAATGAGTTTAATATCCTCTTTTTGTATTGTTCCTTTTATTATTATGTAATTCCCTTCTTTATCATTTGTTTTACAAGTTTTTTGTCTGATATGTATATTGCTACCCATACATTTTCTGTTTGCTCCTGTCTCAATTTGTTGAAGTCAGCAGAGATGAGAGGTGGTGAATTACAAATGGGAGACTTATCTGGATAAGGCCTAGAGATAACAGTGTAACCTCCATTCAGATTTCAGTGGCCTGAACTCAAATCACATGTCCCAAACCTAATAACAAAAGAGCTGGAAAATGTGGTTTGGCTGTGTACCCAGGAAGAAGATAAACACATAGAAATACTGCTCCTGTAACAGTCCAGATTTTCTTTTAACAAACGTTTGTCTCTCATTCTTCCAATTTCATCCCCAGTGAATCAGTGGTCCAGTTAGTGATGCCCTCAGTGCTGAGACAAAGGTCTCTGCTTAATGTGTGGTCCTCTTTCTATTCTCAATTTGACTTTTTGGACCCATTAGTTTCTGCCCTAAAATGGTGAAGCAGAGGCAATATTTATTCCTTTTTGGAAGGAGTTAGAACAAGAGTTCCATTCTAGGCACTGATACACTGCAATTCTGAAATTTGTCTAAATAAACACTATAAAATTCTTCTATTCTGAGATCAGGCAGTTTCTTGAATAGGCCACAATTCTGTTTTCTTTTATCCAAACATCACTTTTATTAAGAGAAATATAACCATAGTACAGTGTTTTAAACATTTTCTCTTATTAGATTGTTTGTCCAGACTTTGGAAAATATTAATAATTACTCTTCAACTTTACTGGTAGGACTGTAAATTGCTCCATGAAGAGCAAGTTAATAATACCTATCAAAATAAATGTCCATATTATTGACCCAGAAATTCCAGGAATTTCCCATGTACAATTGTACTTGCTTCCCTGGAAATGTATGTATTTGGTTTTGGTTACAATTTTTTAATAGCAAAAGATTTTAAATATTTAAATGTCACATTGATAGGTGGTTACTTAACCAATGGCATTGCCATCTAATGGAATATATCACGTAGAATTATATCATTTGGAGAAATCTATATATAAATATATATTTACATGGATTTCTTTTCTGTGTGTACATTATATTGATGGATACACAAAAAATTGATAATGCAGTTACTTTTTGAGAGGGGAACTCTGATTAGTCACCATATATACATTGTTGTGCCTTTTATATTTTGATACATTTATTTGTATTATCTACTTGGTAGAAGTTGATGTGTCCAAATGACAAGTTAATTCCTGTTGATATTAATAGCTCAGATGATCTGCAAGAATTTTTAAGAGCAGTAAGACGAGACTGAAGTGATGTTTGAGAATAGTGAAAACCTAAATACATTTATTCTTAGAGAAACCAAAAAGGTCATCTGTAAATGCAGGTAGTTCCCAACAGAGAGAAGTTTGGGAATCACAGATTTATAATGTTTTAATAAAGCAAATAAACTGTTTATTTCAGAACACAAAAGATCTTCAAACTACACTTAATATCTTGAGCATTCTTGTTGAGCTGGTGTCAGCAGGTAAGTTTTTGTTTCCTTTGGTCTATTTCTATTTGTAAATAATGATCAAAAATGTATCATGTATACTTTGAAATTTTCTGATTCTCATACAGAGGCTATTCTGAGTGTTGGAATTTGGAAGCCAAAATGTCATACTCTTTGTTGTTACTTTGTTTTTGATAATCTTCCAGTGTCCCTCAAACCCATGTGGTTTAGAGCCTTGAACATGAGTTTTGCATCGATGTTTATTTACTGTCTGTGCTATTTTTTAATTAATATAAATAAAGTAAAATTTTATTTTGATGTTATTTGTTTGCTTTCTGAAGTCATCACTTTTACTTGAATGCTAACAAGGTGCGATATCTAATATGTTTTGGAAGAATTTGTGGTTTGAACAGATTTCTTTCAAAAAACTTTTTAGGTGGAGGTCGAAGAGCGAGTTTCTTGGTCTCCAAAGGTGGTTCACAAATATTATTACAGTTACTTATGAATGCTAGCAAAGAATCGCCCCTGAATGAGGAGTTAATGGTGCAGATTCATTCCATTCTTGCAAAGATTGGACCGAAAGGTAAGGGTTTCACTTGCATGACTATCAAGTGGAACGACTTTTGTTATGTTGGTTCTGTGTGCCTTGAAACTGGTAAACTTTAAAATCTAAGATTTTACTACTTATTCTTAGCCTTAGTTAGGAATGCTTTTTATAGTCAACTAGTGACCTCCACGAATTGAGGATCCTAAATTCCCACGTATTTCTATTGCATGTGATGGAAAAAGGAAGAAAAAAATGTGTCAGAATCAGAAATGTGTCTTGGTGTGTGTGTGTGTTTCCGGCATGTATGTGTTATAAAGGATACGCATAACATGAATATTGTTGAGGCTATCTGGCATGTATATGTTATAAAGCATACACATAACATGAATATTGTTGAGGCTAGAAGGAGGGAGTGTGGGTGGGAATGCTTTGACGAGCATAGATATAAAACGTGTTTTCTTTTCATTGTTGTTCAGTCGTTAAGTCATGTCTGACTCCTTGCGATCCCATGAATTGCAGCGTGCCAGGCTTCCCTGCCCTTCACTACCTCCCTGAGTTTGTTCACACTCATGTCCATTGAGTCAGTGATGCCATCCAACCAACAGTGATAGTCATGTCTCAGTGCTTAAAAAGCTTACAAACTAGTTAAGATCAAAAGAGATATAAAAAATTGTAAGAGTGATTTATTACAATAGTAAGACATACAAAATATTGAAAACTACAAATTGAGAAAACATAGGCTATAAAACAAAGGAGGAAGCTGATTTAGGTTAGGTTAAAAGAGAAAAGCATTCTTTGACTAGAACCTAAGCTCAGTGTATAGTTGTCTGCCCAGAGATTGAAATGACTCTCTAAACTCTTCAGTAGTGATTTTTTAAGGGTTCTGCCATTGCCTTGTGGCTTTAAACTTTAAAGTATTTGGCTAAAATGCTTTTTCTAAAAAGTGTCTGAAAATGTGTATGCAGTTTGTATACTTATGTGTATTTCATGTGTATCTTTTTGTATTGTATGAATATTTAAATAATACTGTTAATAATCATTGTCTTAAGGTATCCCTGAGATGACTTTAATTTTTTAGGTGTCTTAGGGACCTTAAGACTTAAACATATATTCAGTTTATTTAAGAAACATGTTAGCTCTTTCTTATTTTTTTAAACTCTTATATTTGAGATTTAAGGGCTACTTTCTGAAATTTTTTTTGAAAACAAAAAATAAAATGAGAAAACCTTTTTGTATTGGTGAATACTGTTATATCATGCTTCCTCCTCTATTTAAAACCAGGTTATCTTTCTGGTGCTTTTCATTAAAGCATGAAGCTTTCGTTATCTTTCTTTTGCTTAAATTAAGATATTGTTTAATTTATATTTTTATTTCTTTAATGTCCCTTGTAAGTTGTAGTTCTTTTAATATTTTCCTCTATACTTCTAAATTTTTGCTGTTTCCTTTGTTATTTGTCCTAGTTTTACATTTTTATATTATTCAATTATATTTGAATTTCTTGGGTGATTTTCTAACTTTTTTATTTTTCCCTTATGAGCTGAGAATAATTTTCCCTTAGGAATATTAGGTTTCTTGACTTACATTTTCTGTTGTTGATGAAATAACTTTGCTTGCTAGTCTTGCTTACTTTCTTTGTTAAAAATCTTAACATTCTTAAATTCTTGTTGCCCAGATTTTTTTTTATTATTTTAATCTCTTCCTAATAATGAAAATTAAGAACTTTCTTCTCTTCCTTTTCTTTGTTAAGAATTAGCTCCCTCTAGAAATTTATTTGATAATATTTTTTAGATTATTTTCTAATAAGCTGTTGTTTTTTCATTATATTGTTTTTTGGCTTCTCCAGTGGCTCAGCAATAGCAAACCTTTCTGTAATGCAGGAGCCGTAGGCGACTCAAATTCAGTCCCTGGATCGGGAAGATCCCCTGGAGGAGGGCATGGCAACCCACTCCAGCATTCTAATGCCTGGAGAATCCCTTTGGCAGGGAGCCTTGTGGGTTACAGTTCATAGGGTTGCAAAGAGTCACTACTAAAGTGACTTAGTATGCATGCACACATATTATAAGTCAGAAAACAGTATAGTTAATATTAAGTAAATAATGTTGGTAATGTACATTTAGATTCTTTGCAATTCTCGTTAACCTTGTGATGGCATTCCTTTGACTGTGTTAAGCTGGAGAGACTTTCCTGTGTAGGGTGGATCAGTTAAGTTATTCCTTTCAATAATAATCTTAAGTGTTGGGCCACTCCAGCCTCTGTTGCCCTGCCCTGTCATCCTACCTGCCCTTTACTCCTTCTTTCAACGATGTTTTAAAAATGTAAGAAGTATTAAAATATATAATAAAGTGATTACAGCTTTAGTTATTTCAGGTCAACTTTATATTAATAGTTGATAATATGCATTCATAGTATTAATTTTAGAAATTCCATTTTTTATGACATTTTCATTTTATTCAAAAGTTACATAGGAGTAAATTATATTTGTTCATTTATTTTTAAACAGACAAAAAATTTGGAGTGAAAGCTAGAATTAATGGAGCTCTAAATATAACCCTGAGTTTGGTCAAACAGAATTTGCAGAATCATCGCTTGGTTTTGCCTTGTCTTCAGCTTTTACGAGTATATTCTGCCAACTGTAAGTATTTCAGAGAAGCTTTTAGTTAGCTCAATGTTGTGACATTAACACAAAATGAAAATTTTAAAGTACTTTAACTCAATAAATCTCTAAAAGTTGTGGACAAGGAACGAGAATATTTAATATGGCTCTTTGTAATTCTAACCACTCCCTCAAAGGTGATAAATGTAAGAAGGTGAGTTGACAAAGTCTTAAGAATTCTCATTAGTTCCCCCTATTTTTAAAGGTATGTAGTGAGGCTGATGAGTAGGCAGCCTGTGGAAAAGATGTTGAAGAATATCAGAGTATTGACAACTGGAAAAACTGCTGCACCTAATTGGATTTTTACAGAGAAGAGGAAAATTGAGAAGGAAGGAATGTGGTGGCATAGACACCTGGAGCTAATTATCTTTAGCAATCAATAGGGAAGTAGCAGAACCAGAAATAAATAGGACAGGAGCCTTTGAGGAAGCTGTAGAGAGCAGTGATCAGAGAGAGAGCCTCAGATGAAGTGTCTCCCAACATAAACACACTCACACCCACGCCCACACCCACCCTCCCAGATGAAGTGTCTCACAACACACACACACACACACACACTCTCTCTCTCTCTCTCTCTCTTTCTCTGTGTCTCTCACAATATTAGGTCCCAACCCCTGAGGCATGGATTTTCTTTCTATTCCCTGACTATGGATATGAGATTGGAATGGTTAACGAGTTGCTTGAGATTGAGATTGTAGAGTACATTTTATTGTAAGAACATCATTGCAAAGTAATGATAATCTCAGTGGTAGGTTTGTGTGTATGTGTGTTTATTTATCTATTATCAGTATCTATACTTTGAAAGTATAGCTAAAGGTGTGCTCAGAGAAAAATAGTTTTGAATACTTGAATACTTAACACTTAGGTAAATAAAAAGAGCATAAGGAAATTAATGAATTGGCTGTTTACAAAGAAATTAGGAACAGAGCAATAAACATAAGGAAAGTAGAGAAGTGAAATAGAAAAAATACATTATAAAATTTAAAAAAATTCATTAAAAAAGAAAGCAATTGGATTAAAAATAGATGAGCCACTGAATTCCCCAATTAAGGAAAAAGACAAAACAGACTAAAATTAGAAGCAATAATGGAGCGATAAGCAGATACAGAGGAAATTAAAATCATCATAAAACTTCAGGAACTACATTTTTTAGGGCACTTTTTTCATTAAGCACCAGGAGGCTAGTAAATGGTATATCTATAATTTTTAAATAATATTTCTTCAAGATTGAAAATGTTAGGCCCAGTTTTCTGGTTAGGTAATTGTTTGCATGTTCTGTCTAAAGTTGTGACCTGTTTTTGCCTACTGCAGTCGCTTTAATTAAGGTCCTCATGACTTCTCACCTAGAACACAGCCATCTTTCCTACAGTGCTGTTAGATCTGACCTGCATCTAAAATCTGACCTGAAGATCTGATTTGTTGTTGCTTTTGGGCAATTCCCTATAGTTGAAAAAACAACTTCTAGGAACTTTCATAATTTATTTACTTCTTTTCCCACTTCATCTTCCCATTGGCATGCCTTTGAAATATCAACTAAGGTGGACTTTATGAGAGACACAGAGTTCACATTTACTTAAACAGTTTGTATGTTTTTCAGCCGTGTGCCACATGTATAAACATTTCTATCCACTGAAGTTTTAAAATCACTTTACATCTTTTTCCCCCTTCCCAGCTGTGAATTCTGTATCTTTAGGGAAAAATGGAGTTGTGGAACTGATGTTTAAAATCATCGGACCGTTTAGTAAGAAGAATTCCAGTCTTATGAAGTGAGTAAATGTTTTAAGTGTAAATAGAAGTATACCCTTTGTTATTTTGGGCCTTATCATCTTAATCTGTGCAGTGAAATGGTTGAGTTCAGTTGTGTCTAGGGTCCTTTCTTAGTTCTTAGTGATTTAATTATGATAAAGATTTTCTTTAGTATAAAGTTTAATCTTCAAAAATATATCAGAATTAGAAAACTAAATTTACAGTCTTATAGAAATTTAGACTTTGAATATTCCTAGATACTATAATAGGAAAAAAGACCTTTACAGAGTATCACTCATTCAGAAACATTTATTGAGTGCCTACTATATTCCCTACCCAATTTTATAATCTTTTGATGACTGTTTCCTTCATTCTCACAATTATCTGGATATATTTTAAATTTATATATTTCTTTTTTGTCAAATAATGTCATTCTTTTTCTTATTTGAGATACGTATATATATATATATATATGTCTCAAAATATATATTATATATATTTATGTTTGTGTGTATATGTATAGATATATATACACACACCCACAAATATATATATAGATAGTTATATTCATTTGTGTGTCTTTCAACCTCTGAACTTGAAAGCATTTTCCAGTTATTTCATTATATTTAGTGCTTTCTTAAGCCATTTTAATGGTCATTCTTTTAAAAAAATTATTTTGGAATTTTTCAAAGAAGTATAGCATTTACATTATATTAAACTAATTATCTTGAATTATTTATATTAATTACTTGTTATATTCAACAATTATTAACATTCTGCCATTTTTGTTTCATTTGTTCCCCCTCACACACTTTTATTTGTGTTTCCTAAAGTATTTTTAAGCAAATCCAAGATGTTATTTACATATATATGAATTTCTGTAAGCAAGTACCAGGTATTTCCTCATTTTTCCCTTAAATACTTCATTATGTAACTCTGCTAAATAGGGACCTAAAAATAACCATAATGCTATAATCATACTCAACAAATTTATTGATTGCTTAACACAATCTAAAATTCTGTGTATCTTCTCTAGTTATCTCAAAATGCCCTTTTAAAATTGGTTTGTTTAAAACAAAGTACTTATGTTATTATATTTACTTCATTATATTTAGGAAATTTCCAAATCTACACACAAATAGAATAATGAACCCTGATATACCCATCAGTCAATTTCAGCAATTGTCAACATTCTGCAATTTAAATTTCATGAAACAAAGTACTTATGTTATTATATTTACTTCATTATATTTAGGAAATTTCCAAATCTACACACAAATAGAATAATGAACCCTGATATACCCATCAGTCAATTTCAGCAATTGTCAACATTCTGCAATTTAAATTTCATCTTTCCCTTCTTTGTCTGCCTCCTATCGGTATGTTAAAGCAAGTATCAGCCATGACATTTATTCTGTTAATTCTTTAGTATTATCTCTATCAGACAGTTTTTCCTATTAGTGTTACCAAAGTATCATTTCTTTGTTCAACAATAGTAATAATTACTTTAATATCATCTAATATCTTCTGAATGTATAAGAAATGTCTTTTTTTCTTTCTTTCTTTTTTTTTTTTTTTTTACAGTTGTCTTGCTCAAATCAGAATCTAAATAAGGGCTCTACATTCTGTTTGATTGATAAGTCTTGTAATCTTTTGCAGTCAGTAACTATCCCCTGTCCCTCTGTTTTTTGTTTCTGATTTATTTGCTGAAGGACCTGGGTGACATCTTATAGAATGTCTCAACATAGATTAAGATGACTATATCCTGGGATCTTTTAACTTGTAGGTATACTCTTCAAATTTTTTGTAGACTGATGGAGCTTGAGGCTTGATTAGATTTTTTAAAAAATTATCAAAATATTTCATAGGTGGTGCTGGTTCTCTGTTTTGCATTACTTAAAATTGTTGAGTTGAAGTGGTCCATCTCCTTTCACCTAATCACTTAGCAATATTTCATGACATTGCTTAGATCCATTATTTCTTAAAAATGTGCGAAATAATGACTTTTCTAATTTTCTCATTCTTTTTACTTCTTTTAGTTGTGAATCTTTTATAAGGAAAAACTTGTCCACAATAACTATTCATAGGCTAAATTTTGCAAATGAATCAGGTTCAGAACATACCCAGTCTTTTCACCCTTTCTTAATAAAGGTGAAATATTTAGCTTGTTCCCTTCTTGAAAATGGGAGCTTACTTGTACATATAGTTATTTATTAAGTATTTGGTGGGATGACAACATATTTACTTATATAAAGATTATACAGTCTTAGAGCATCTGATGAAATGTGACAAGATAAAAGAAAATGATTGTATCACAATTAGTAAGACCAACTTCCAGAATAGGTGCAGTGAATGGACTCTGGAAGCAGGCAGAAACTGGATTTTCATGTTAGCTCTGTGTCTCACTGGCTTCATGATACGAAGTCACCTGACTTTTAAAACAAGTATTTATTTATAGCTGTGCTGTATCTTCGTTGCGGCACAAACTACTCTCTGGTTGTGGTGCACGGGCTTCCCATTGCGTGGCTTCTCCTGTTGCAGAACGTGGGCTCTGGTGCACGAGGGTTTCGGTGGTAGTGACAGGTGGGCACAGTAGTTGCATCTCCAGGGCTCAAGAGCACAGGCTTAATTGTTGTGGCACATGGGGTTAGTTCTGCGGCATGTGAGGTCTTCCCAGACCAGGGATCAGATCCATCTCTCCTGCAGCGGCAGGCAGATTCTTCACCACTGAGCCACCAGGGACGCCCCAGTTACGTAACTTTTTATGTCCCAGTTTCCTATTTGTAAAATAGTAGTATTTGTGCCTTTGGAGAAGGAAATGGCAACCCACTCTGTTGTTCTTGCCTGGAGAATCCTGTGGACAGAGGAGCCTGGTGGGCTGCCGTCTATGGGGTCGCACAGAGTCGGACACGACTGAAGCACCTTAGCATGCATGCATGCATTGGAGAAGGAAATGGCAACCCACTCCAGTGTTCTTGCCTGGAGAATCCCAGGGACAGAGGAGCCTGGTGGGCTGCCGTCCATGGGGTCGCACAGAGTCAGACACGACTAAAGCGACTTAGCAGCAGCAGCAGTATTTGTGCCTATATCATAAGATTGTTTTGAGGGTTTAGATAATTCCTGTAATTAGCATAGTGCCTGTATTAATGCAGTGTAATTAGTTTAGGTAAGCAGTGTAGTTTATGCCTTTCCTCTTTTTGATGTTTAAAGTACTTCATAATTAATTTTTATCTAATGACTATGATCTCCTACTTAAGATCTAAATTAACCTATTATAACCCATTACCAAATCTAATATAAAATGTTCCTAGGAGATAAGAACATTTTACAAGTATCTTTATAATATACAACATGATATATTTCTAAAACCATGTAGAAATCAGTGCGTCTAAACTTCGGAGAAAGGAATGTCATTATCTAAATTATCCCTTCACTCTTTCCTCTGTGTTTTAAAAAGAACACTTTTTTTTAACTTTACCTTAAAAAGGATAAAACATGCATTGACCAGACATCTATATCATGATTCCTTTATTATTTTGAATAATCATAGGGTCTCCCCCCGTAATTAAACAATCTCAACATCTAGAGCATTTGTGTCACAGTTCTTCCTGTCCTTAAATAGTACCCTGCATTTAGTTGAAGAAGATTGAGGATTATTATTTATGTTTGAAGAGCAATGCTTCCCTTTTAGATTTCCTTTCCTTTCCAATTTTAGGTTTTGGATTTAAACATTGTTAATCTACTAGGAAGCAACTCTGAATTTATTGTAACTCTGTCATTTTGAGTTTCCTTGTAGGTTTGGAGGGGCCTCCCCGGTGGTGCTAGTGGTAAGGAGCCTGCCTGCCAGTGCAGGAAACGTGTTTGGTCTCTGCGTTGGGAAGATCCCCTGGAAGAGGGCATGGCAACCCACTCCAGTATTCTTGCCTGGAGAATCCCCATGGACAGAGGAGCCTGTCAGGCTACAGACCATAGTGTTGCAAAGAGTCACACATGACTGAGCAAGTTAGCACACATAGGTTTGGAGGTTATTGCAAGGATTGACCTCCCAACTTAAATAACTTTATGAGTACCTGGGGCTTAAGCTTTTCCCCCTTCACTGCTCTCAAATGAATAAACCACAGACTGCTTTTAAAGTCACTGTTAGCTGTGTTATTCTGTGTAGGACTTACGGAGATTGGAAAAACATGTGAGGAAGTATAAAATATTGGTGCTGAGAAATTCTAATTAACATAATAAAATTGTGCATTTCAATAAATATTTTTCTGTAACTTTTTGTTGACTATATTATAAATTCATACAGACTTATAAGTGACATAGAATTTCAGAAATTCCTTTGTGCTGAAGTTTTAAAAAAATCTTTAAAATAACATCTTGGTGAGACTATCAAGATGACTTTACACCAAACTTCATAATTTCTTTTAATCTAGTGGAGCTGTGGAACAGGCATGATGGGAAGAAGGAATTGGGTGCATATCCCAGTTTTGCCAGTGTGAAGAATGAGCATCAAGAAAGAAACATATAGTGTAAGGCTTAGAAAATGTCAGAGCACTTTTGTTTGGTAAACATGTGTTGTAAATAACTGCTAGTAGGGAGAAACATGTTTCTGAAAGGGCACTTAAGATTTTTTAAATTTTAATTTAGAGAAATGCAAATCAAAACTGTAATGAAGTGTCACCTCACACCAGTCAGAATGGCCATCATCAAAGAATCTACAAATAATAATTGTTGGAGAGGGTGTGGGGAAAAGGGAACACTCCTGCACTGTTGGTGGGAATGTAAACTGGTAACAGCCGTAGTGGAGAACAGTATGGAGATTCTTTAAAAAACTAGGAATAAATCTATTAACACCATATGACCCAGAAACCCTGCTAGTGGGCATATACCCTGAGAAAACCAGATTCTAAGAGACACATGTACCCCAATGTTCATTGCAGCACTATTTACAGTAGCCAGGACATGGAAGCAACCTAGATGTATATTAAGAGGTGAATGCATAAAGAAGATGTTGTACATACATACAGTGCAATATTACTCAGCCATAAAAAGGAACAAATTTGAGTCAGTGGTAGTGAGCTAGATGAACCTAGAGCCTGTTAAGTAAAAAGTGAAATTAGTCAGAGAAAAATGAATATTGTATATTAATTCATGGATATGGAATCTAGAAAAATGGTACTGATGGACATATTTGTCGGGAAGGAACGGAGACAGAGATGTGGAGAACTTGTGGACACAGCAGGGGAAGGAGAGGATGGGATGAATTGAGCAAGCGGCATTGCACTGACATACATACACTATGTGTAAAATAGATAGCAAGTGGGAAGTTATTACATAATGTAGAAGCCTAGTCTGATGCTCTGTGATGACCTGGAGGGTGGGATGTAGGGAGGAGAGGGTGGCTCTGGAGGAAGAGTGTTGGCTTCTGGATTTTGTCTTGTTTAGGAAAATCTATCCTACCCAAATAGTATGAGATTTTTCTTTAGCGTTTTTTCTAATATTAGAGATTTATTGTCTCTGGAGGCTGAAGTTCAGAATCAACTTGTAAACAGGGCCAGTGTTCCCTTCCTGGCCTGTAGGGGAGAACCCCTCTTCGTCCCTGGCTTTCAATGGTTTGCTGGCAGTCCTTAGGGTTTCTCTGGCTTGTAGCCTCAACATTTCAGTCTCTGACTCTGTCTTCATATGATGTGCTCTCCTTGTGTGTCTGTCTTTGAATAGTCTTCCCTCTTTTTACTAGAGCATCAGCTTTGTTGGATTAAGAGCAGTCTGTTCCAGCATGACTTAATCTTACTTATATCTGCAAAGATCTTGTTTCCAGATGAGGCCACATTCTGAGGTGCTAGGGGTTTGGACTTCAACATATCTTTGTGGAGGAGACTGCCATTTCTGATTTCTTAATTTTCTTTCTCAGCAACCATTTTAGTCATTTTTCATCTCACTTAGTTTTTATATGACCCTAGGCATATTATATTCTGAAATCTTTGGTGTCTTTTTTCATAAAATGTGCCAATTCTAGAGACTAGGATTTAAAAAAAAAAAGTTAAACTAAAAAGCACATACAAATATAAAACATGTACAAGGCATGTAGAACAATTTTTGGCATTTGTCAGGTCTTGCTGAATGAAGTCTTCTTTTCCATTTTTTTCCCTAAACTGCCGTTTTACCTAGAAGGTCCGTTTAGTTCTATATTTATTTCTGACCAATTTAAAAGTCATCCTTATTCTGATAGTTTACAGTCTTAAGTGCTAATTACTGTGTAATTGATTGCAAGGTTATGCAAAGTTTCTTACTGATGAATCAGTGCTCTGAAAATTGTTTTAATTTTATACTTTTCATTTACTTTTAACATGCCATTACCAAAACTGCACATTGTTTTGAGAAATTTAGTCACATGAGTTTACATTTTTTAGGGCATATACTTTTGCTTTTATTTTTCAAATGTTATCATAAATAAAGTTTTATATGGTTGCTTTATTTGTGTAAGTAAACCAAAGTGTAATTGTTAACGGCTTGCTCTAGAGGGTAACAATAATGAGCATTTATCATAAATGTGCACTTTTGTGCCTAGTCCTAGATTATTGTTTCCTAGATTATTGTTTACTGTGAACCAGTATCCATCCTAAATCTTCTGAGTCATTTTAAAAGTTATCATCTGATCATGCTATGATGTGCAGCTTTATTAATTTTATTCCCTTGTTTTCTTGAGTAGATATTTTTGGTTTTAATTTCTTATTTTTCTATAGATGTGTATATTTTATTACATTATCGAGATTGTAAAATAATCTATGTAAGAGTTAATTTTATTTTCTAATTTTATAACCATGAAGAACCTGCTACTGTGGGTATCTAGTAGGCATTCAACAAATCCTTAATGATGAGTGAAATGCTTAAATTTGACAATATACATATTTATATGCAAATTAATTATCCTTATTGAAATCTTACTAAGAGGTACTGTAGTATGTAGTCTTATATTTTTAAAATTCCTGAAAGTAAGTCCCATTTCTTCAGTAACTCATTTCTAAAAAAGTATTTGAATTAAAGGTTTTTCACAGTGATGTTTTATATATCTTTAAAGGTACTAAATGGTATTGATTTCACTGTGTGTAACTGCATATTTATGTTCAGAGAAAATCTAAGTGCTCTAATAGGCAGTAAGAATTTTTGAGATATGAATTAAGTCATTGTTCTCTTTGGTGCTATATGGCTGAAAAATGTTAAGGGCTCATACATCCTCTGCTAATCTCCTTGTTCCAAAATATTTTACTTTTGTTACCACATTAAATGTTAGGATTATTGCTTGATAGAACTAACATACTTTGAAGTTGGATAGCTATGAATACCTATAGAATTTTGTAGTTACAAACTCTGTGTTAAAACTTGTTTTTGTTTTAATTTTTTTTGTGACTCCGAGTCTGATTGTGAATAGTATCCTATTGTGAACTCTGGCCCAGTCAGAATAGTATTCCTTTGTGAACTCTGGCCTAGTCAGATACAGGTACAATGATTCCATTCATCTGACCTCTTATATGAAGACTTAAGCATTGTTAATTTTCTTCTTTTTCTTTTCTTAAACATTTTCTGGTGCTTCTTTGTTGATATTTCCTCATAACCAATTTTAACCTGAAAGAAGTGAGGCATACAGAGAGGCACCATATGTAATTGAGTATCCCAGGAATGACATTTGGAGTAGATACTGATTACTTATCTGAAAAGATTGTATGACTTTACTATTGTAGATTAATTTTACTAGTTTTGTTGTTGTTTGTGTTTTCTCATGTTGACAGGGTTGCTTTAGACACTCTTGCTGCATTGCTAAAATCAAGTAAGTTTTTAAATACTAGAAATACTAGATACTGTTTTTCTGAGTATTCTAACTGCTATTTTGAAGAAACTGGAAATGTAGATTTAGTTTATGGTTATAAAGCTTGTTCATAATAATTTAACGTCAAAGTTGATTTTATCTTTTAGTGCAATTGATTGATGTGTAACTAATGTCATTTATGTTTATTGAGCTCTAACTTGTTTATCAGTATATTTATATAATTTCTTCAAGTATACTGACTTCCTTTCTCTAAGTTACTTATATAAACATAAAGCCTTGTTAGTAGGGGAAAGTAACATGTAAATACAATATAGCATCATTTTGAAAAAGTGACCCTAACATGGCCTTGAGAACATTTACCACGAAGAATATCTTTGACAGCTATTATCTCTATATAATGTATGATTTTCAACTAGAACCTCCTTATTAGAAATTTTATTTCTACCATAAATTCAGATTTGTAACATTAAAAATGGCTAATGTAAATTTAGAGTTTATTGAATGCATTTAGAGACTAAAGCATTGTTTTTTTTTAATCTTTGAAATTGAAACATTTGAGGAAATGTGTCATACGTTGCTTTTGTAGAGTAACCATCTACTTTATGTGGATCTGTCTCTCCATGATATTCAGTATCTATATTTTAAATATTAATTTTTAAAATGTATTTTAAATATTAATTTTGTTAGCACTCCCATTCTTACTGGTTGATTAAATTAACATTGTATTTAACCATGATAACATTCAATCCTAAAGATTTATGTTGATGGCTTTTGATGTTATTTTTCCCCAAAACTGTCTATCAAGGGTGAGACCACCTTGCCCTTAAGTTTGAATTATGAGAAGAATAGTAACAAATGATTAATTGATTGAAAATCTGATAATTGATAATGATTTATTAAATTAAAAAAATAACCTTAGGTATTAGTGTTATAGCTGCTATATTCAGTTGACAGTTTTGTCCTTTAACTGTGTAGTATTCACTTAGATTAGCTATATAGCTTTGTTTTCATGTAGATTAGCTGTATAGCTTTGTTTTCATATATGATGTGATAAACCGTAGACCAAGATTAGAATACTTGGATTAATTTCAGAGATATCTGTAGCCTTGCTTTGATGTGGCCACCCTGCCTTTGTTGCTCAAGGTGTTTAAACATTAATTTTTAAATTAATACAGGCATATATTTTTGATTTAGAGTAGATTAAAATAGCCATTAAACTAAATTTTTATTAAAGCTTACTAATTTGCAGAATCACTAATGACAAAGTCACTAATTCTAAGTCAGGAAAAACTAAAACATAAATTTCAAGGGTTTATAGAAATCAGTAACCTACAATGACTGAAATGCTGATATTTTCAGTTTTGAATAATAATCTTTCCTTTATTCCCTCCCTTCTCCTTCAGAGGAGGATGGTAGGCGAACATATCTGGTCAAAAAGTAACTGACAAGTAGAATGACTCTTGATTGCAGATAGCTTTGTGCTTCTCTTAAGGGTCACTCACCGTGTGTGTGTTATGGGCAGGTTTCTTATTTGACCTTCAATGAAGAATTTAAATATTTCTCGTAAATATCATTTAGGCCTTTGGGAATTCCACTGGAAACACAGTTTGTGATAGGAGTTTCAGTGATTGTAATGTCTTTTAAGAGAATCATTCTTTTAAGCCATTATGATAGTAATATCTTTTAAGTATTGTTGGTGATACTAAAAGCTAGTAAGCTAAAGGCTTATATATTCCAACTGGTGTAAACAAAATATATATATATATGTGTGTATATTTGTTTAAACTACATGAAACTATTGTTAGAACTATTTGAACTTTTTATAGATCGCCACCCAGCACCACATGGGTGTGCCAGTGATGAGTGCAAGAGAATGTGAAATACCAACTCACCTGAGGTTGTTTAGTTAGAAATACCAGTCTCTTCCTCGTCTATGTTTACCTATAAAATGCCAGGCTCATGGCATGGACATTAAGATAATGCGGCAGTAAGGCTGTGCTGCTTTTAGTTGCCTACAATACTAGTTTTAAATGTGCTAATACACACGTAAAACATAGGTAAAGACCCTGAGCTCAGCAAACTTCTTAACGCCCTCTTAGACATTATGTTCTGATATTAGAGAGCTGGGAGAAACTCACGGGGGTAGGTAGGGGTGCTTTCTTATGTGAAAGGTCTTTAATACCTCTGTTGTGTGTTTGGAAGAGCTAGTTTGCTTTGCCTGATAGCTACACCTTAGCAAAACTAGTTCTTCTAGACACAAAATAGATGTGCCTGCTTACAAAGGTAATTTCACACAAAGATTGTAATGGAAGTTGCAATGATAGTGGCTTTTAAGAAGATCATAGTCACAACTAGTAAGTTAAAGGCTTATATATTCCTTTTGGTGTAATCAAAGTTATGTATTAATAGGTTTTAAAATATATGAAAGTTTCATTAGTATTAACATTTGGAAAGATACAACCTTAATTGTATTAAAGATATTTTGATATTTATTTACCTCAAAACAATAGATAGGCAGATTTCTGGAAAATTGTACTTTGCTATCTGGAACTTGTCATATTTATTTTGCTACCTAAAAAATATTTAAATATGTGGTTGCCATAGTTTTTCTTGGAAAAAAGGAATTATAAGAACTAATTACAATATTATGGTTATGTTTTCAATTTGACTTTATCAGTGTCTCTTATTATTTTAAAAATTTTCTTTTTCAATTTTCTTTTGTTAAAGAAACTAATGCCAGGAGAGCTGTAGACAGAGGATATGTCCAAGTCCTTTTAACAATTTATGTAGATTGGCACCGCCATGATAATCGGCATAGAAACATGCTCATTCGAAAAGGAATTTTACAGAGTTTAAAAAGTGTTACGAACATCAAGTTGGGAAGAAAAGCATTTATTGATGCCAATGGGATGAAAATTCTTTATAACACTTCGCAAGTAAGTTTTTAATTTTCTTCCTGTTATTATGATTATCTATTAATGATAGGATTTGGTTCTTAAGAAAACTTAGTATTTCTACAAGTACATAGTATGATAAATATATTTAAAAAATTTGAAAACCAAAAGGCACAATCATTTCTCACATGTGACCTTATACTAAGTTTAAGAAAGTACTTAGTGTATATCTCTGCAAGATGAGATTTTTTTCCCCCGTAGATAGAAGGAAGATGTATAAATCTCTTCCCTGGGCAGGAATGGATTCCATATAGCCATGTTTTCTAAGGTGTGCTGTTACCTACACTCAGTTTTCTATGTTCCTTTCATAAATATTCATTAATCCTTTATGACTGGTAATGGAGGTATGTTAGCTGTGAGTGTTCTCTGTGTCTTTTTTTCTGGAGAGGATACTTTTAAATAATGAAGGTACAAAAGTGAAATTTGGAGTTAGGAATTCTGGTTCTGCCAGCCATTGTACACATAAACCTTCTCAACAGTATTCTAGGTTCTGTAGAGGGCACTCGATGATGGGGAGTGGGGATGTTGCAAAGTAACTCTTTTATTTTTATAAGACTAGTTATTAGAATGAAATCTGTCTTCTTGAAAATTCAAGCCAGTCGTCTTGATTGTGCCCTCTTGGTCTTACACACGACAACTAATCTTTTTGTGGGAGTAGTTAAGATATGTGAATGCACACTTTATGTTAACTCAGCTTTTTCTATTGTAGATCAGTCATATGCACTTATTTTTTTACTATTCCTAAAATAGACAGTATATGAGGAGAGATTGGGTGATGGTTTATGCCACTTCACATTTCTGAGTCTTAGTTTTTCAGCTGTTTTGACAGGTCAGATGTGAAGATTTCTGTTGAAAATTGCACAGGTTATCAAAGTGCCATTTAAAGCCATCTAAGTGTCAATTGTCAATAGTAACAGTGTTATATGAAATAGTTTCAAATGTCCTATTCAAGAGCCCTTCTTAAGATTAGATACCAAGATAGTAAATTAAATTCTTAAAACTTTAAATTGTGATGTTCAGGCTATTCTTTTCAAAGTTGAACAGCTAATTTATTAGAGGTGGTATTGCATGATAACTGATAGAATTCTGAGAAAGGCTCAGCTAAATTCACATTCCTTTTTATTTCTTACACTTTCCTTAATTTGTGAATTTTTCTCTTTTTTTCTTTATCCATTAAATTTTTATTTTATGTCCTAGGCTTGCTAAAATGCTCCCTAAATCACTCATAGGTATTAGTGCTTTGGTGACTTCTGGAACCAAACATGGTACTGATTTCTGTTAAATTAAGATGTGTGAGGAAAATTGCTGCCAAATTTGCCATATGAGGTTCTTACAAAGAGATATTTCAAATTAGTCAAATCTACTTTATAATTACGTTAAAAATATTGGGTTTTGTGATGTTTGCCTTCTGAAAAGTATTAACACATTATTTTCTGAAGTAGTATAAAATTGTTCCACTTATTCACCAAAGGCACATTATCTTTTTTTTTTTTTTTCTTTTCTTATAAAACAGGAATGTTTGGCAGTAAGGACCCTTGATCCTCTTGTCAACACCTCCAGTCTGATAATGAGGAAATGCTTTCCTAAAAATCGCCTGCCACTCCCAACGATTAAAAGTTCTTTCCATTTCCAGTTACCTGTTATTCCTGTGACTGGACCTGTGGCCCAGCTCTACAGTTTACCTCCTGAAGGTAGGACCACATGCTTCTTGCTGGCTTCCCGTGGTTATTGGAATTGTGTGACTTTATCTATTTTTGCTTTTGTTCATCTCCCTAGCCAAAGAAGGCTTTAATGAACATGATATGCTTTCAAATTACTTTTTAGTTAATAAATATTTCTTCAAATATAAGAAATTAAGGTTGAGTGATTAAGGGAAGGAATGTGGGATATGCTACATATGTGTTAATGTGAATTGTGAAAAACTGTCAGCACCACGTAGAAACAGTATTTGATAGCTTATATACATTTTCAAAATATGACTGTATAAACATTCTTATAAATGTTTAGGTAATTATATTTGAGCGTACATTTGTAGCTTTTTAATGAACTTCATTTTTTAAAAGTTAAAATGCCTAATCACTAAATGAATTACTGTTTATGTTCAACAAAACTTGCACCATCACTTCAGTTCAGTTCAGTTGCTCAGTTGTGTCCGACTCTTTACTATGAACCGCAGCACGCCAGGCCTCCCTGTCCATCACCAGCTCCTGTAGTTTACCCAAATTAATGTCCATTGAGTCGGTGATGCCATCTAACCATCTCATCCTCTGTCGTCCCCTTCTCCTCCTGCCTTCAATCTTTCCCAGCATCAGGCTCTTTTCAAATGAGTCAGCTCTTTGCAGCAGGTGGCCAAAATATTGGAATTTCAGCTTCATCTTCAGTCCTTCCAATGAATACTCGGGACTGATTTCCTATGGACTGGTTGGATCTCCTTGCAGTCCAAAGGACTCTCAAGAGTCTTCTCCCAACACCACAGTTCAAAAGCATCAATTCTTCTGCGCTCAACTTTCTTTACCTGATAGAAAATACAAAATTATTATAAATGGAATCTTTGTTATTTTGGTACAATACTGTGTACAAAGCAAAGAAAGTAAGAGATTACACATCTTAATGTGAGGACAAAAAAGCAGAATTTTTTTGATAAGAGCTAGCAAATTAAAAAGAGAAAGTAATCTAGGCTATTAAGATTTCTAAAGTACTTCCTTGATAGTTGATCACTTTTTTTTAAAAAAAAGATCTTTTATTTATAATTAAGAGCAATTCTTTGAAGTAAGTGATTTAAGAGAATTTTTAAGTAAATTTAGTTTTTTTATTGTTGATATATCACAGAGTATACTCTTATGATTTCATTTCTAAAGTAGTTATTAAAGTAGTTTAGTCTACACAGAATATCAAAATGGATTATTTATAAACTTCCTTTAAAAGGTATAGAAGTCTAATACTAAGTCTGGGACTTGATTAAAGATAGCTAAGTGAAAGTAGTGATCTAATTCCATTCCATTCTTATTCCATTTAAAATTACCAACAGACTTTATAAATAGAGGAAAAAAAAACTGTACTGAATCTGAAAACTTGATAAAAGGAGCATTCTCATGGAATAAACATAGGATGTGCAACAAACGTGGTGGAGAAAAGAATAGATTAAAGAAGAGTGTCAGCTCTAATTCACCCTTCTATGAAATGCAGTATCTCTGGCTTTGGATTGAAGGTCAGACTGATGTATCACTGAAGTAGAGATGGTTACTTGTATCAACTAACAAGCCTTCAGGAAGAAGATGTGAGAGAAGGGTTCTAATGACACTTGCATAGACATACGGAAACACAATTTTTCTCCTCATCACTTTCTGACATATCAGGCTTCATTACATTTGTCAGTTTTCATTATTTTTTAATCTTCCTCAGTTAGACTGTAAATTCCATGAAGATAAAACTGTTGTTTTTTCCTTCACTTTATCCTCAGCATCCATTAGATTGCATGAGACATAATGAATGTGCATTTAACATTTGTTAGTGAATGAGTTGAACTGGCCACAAGACTTATTCTCTTGAACATTTAATGCCAAAAGATAGTGAAGCAGCCTCATTCCTTGGAGATTTGAAAGAAAAGAGTTCTTACTTAAGATTTCTGAATGCTTATTAGTTGCCACTTATATGTAAAGGTGACATATTCTTAGATATGCAAGGGTACAGAAGCATATTGCCCAGGTCCCTTCCTGAAGTAATTACATGAAATATTACTCCAGTCAGGCTAGTGATGAATTAGGAAATCAGGCTTGCAGAAGACATGGTAGTAGAGTAATTGTATTTAACTTTGCAAATTGTTAAATTATGTAATACTAAATAGTTGTTCTACTGTTATTTTGAAATATATCAACCAATTTTTGATGAAAGATAATATATAGCTGTCACAAACTGGGTCTTTTAATAATTTATATTTGTATATATTTATCAATATTATAATAATTGCTATATTTATAAAATGGTAATTATAGAAATAGTGGCCCAGATATGTGTTTTAAAATGTAAAAGTAACATCTAGAACAGAGACCTATAGACGAGGATCTACTGAGCCATAGGTATCCATGGTTCTTAGTTTCTAGACTAAGTCCAGTTGTAGACTGAGTTCCTAGTTGAGAGACTAAGAACCCTTTGACATTCTATATAAAATTATGTGTATGTTTTTCTTGGAAAAAATTCTTGAAGCACGGCTATAGAAAATCAGGAAGACTTCAAAGATGTACAAAATCCTGAGAATGCTGAATGCAAAGCAAGAACAAGCAAATCAGTTTCAGTAATAAGATATCTAAATGGATAAAATATTCCCAGTAAAAAAAGAGCCCCTCTGATTGGGTTAAAAACAAAATTTAAGTAGCGGATAGATCCTGGAAACTCTTGAAATAGTAAGATTGAACTCTTAAACCGATTGGCAACTGTGTATCTGTTATTCCCAGCTCAAAACAGGTAAGGAAGACACTACTACCCTACAATATATACATAGAGAACAAAATGTTTAAAACAAGATAGCAAATACGATTTTATGCAAAGTAGATAATAACATGTGCCAAATACTAAAACAAAGATAGATAAAGCTATAATTATTGCTAGAAGCACAGCATTAGTGAGTGATTTTAATGTGCCTTAAATTCTTGGTAAGGTATATAGAGGAGAGCCAGTCAATCTAAGTGGATGCTAAAGATACCTCCTGTTAATACATTTGAAAATATATTTGAAATGGACAATATTTTATGGAAATATAAAAAACTAAAATTGACTTGGGCTTCCCTGATAGCCCAGTTGGTAAAGAATCCTCCTGCAATGCAGGAGACCCCAGTTTGATTCCTGGGTCGGGAAGATCCTCCGGAGAAGGGAGGGATAGGCTACCCACTCCAGTATTCTTGGGCTTCCCTTGTGGCTCAGCTGATAAAGAATCCGCCTGCAATGTGGGAGACCTGGGTTCAATTCCTGGGTTGGGAAGATCCCCTGGAGAAGGGAAAGGCTACCCATTCCAGTATTCTGGCCTGGAGAATTCCATTGACTGTGTAGTCCATGGGGTTGCAGAGAGTTGGACACGACTGAGCGACTTTCACTCAAAATTGACTTACATAGTAGAAAACCTGCAACTGAGGATGCAATCAAGTTGTCTTCAGTGAAGATATCAAACAGTAGATTATTTCTCTCAACCTTCAAGAAATTTTCCTATACTTGATTTTTCTAGAGCATTGGAAATAAAGAGAAGTTTAGAAACTAGTATGATGCTGAAATCAAAACCTGAAACAATTTACAGATCATTGTTACTAATGAAGATAAATATAAAAATCTAAAATATTAGCAAATTGAATTGAGCAGCATTTTGAGATATAAGACACTTTGACAACATAAGGATTATTTTAGAAAGTAAGTTTATTGTAATATTAAGACTTTAATGAAAATTTATCAATATGTCAAAGAAAGAAAAACAGTGATTATCTTAATAAATGTCATGAAAGGGGTTGATAAAAATTATTATTAGTTCCAGATTAAATCTCTTAACGAATCAAGGAATATTTTCCAAGTGGCTGAGTATTATTTAATTCAGATCAGTAACCAACATCACAAATAGTTATGAAGTGTTAGAGTAAGCATCTCTCAACCATTATTAGTTAACATTGTTTTGAAAGCTCTAGTGAGATCAATAAGACAGGGAAAGGAAAGATACTAATCATTAAAAGAGCGAGATAAAAGTTATATCAGTGTCTGAGGAGGATGTTGCTGTTTATGTAGAAAATCAAAACAAATCAATTATAAAATGTATCTTAGACCAAATAAAAGTTCAGTGAAGTACTATTTACAAGATAAGTGAATAAAATTCACTAGCTTTCCTCTGGGTACATGTGTATGTTTATTTGTGTATGAATTTGATAAACATATGCTCACAATAACCATTAGAAAACACAAAGAGAAAGATCACATTTTTTTTTTTTGAAAGATCACATTTTTAAGAGCAATAGGACCAACAAAATAAATCCTATTGGAACATACATTCCAAAACCTTACGGCAAGTGCTGACTCATACCTTTAATTATTATACCGTACAGATATTGTGTAATTTACCTAACTGATTTCCTATTGATAGCCATCTTAGTTCTTTTTCCCCTGTATCTTTGTCTTTACTATAAATGAGCCAAGAACATTTTGAAAATTAACAAGGGTGATTTACATTCCCTGCTTTTAGTTGTGAGATTAAGTTATTAATGTAATAATTGATTTTTAGTGCTGATGGAATAAAAATAGATCATTGGAATAGAAAATAAGGTCTTAGATACTCTAAGCTATATGGTATTTCACATCTGGAGTATGAAACCAAAGGAAAATACCTATAAAGGAAGATATTTGACAGGTTTGATTAAAAATTAAAAACATATTTTCTCTCTGATGCTGAACTGCATTTTCCCTTCTTCTATCCAAGGAGTTGTCTTTCTTGTTTGCAGTAGGATTTTCTGAAGTCAGTTCCGTCTTTTTTCCTAACAATTCTTTTTCCAAATATCATTTCCTCTGTTTATCTGGGACTAACTGCTGTTAATACATTGACATAAATAGACCCAGTTACCGTATGCAATATAAATAGTACTTTTTTCAGTCTTATTTCCAAAAGCATTTAGAGTGATATGGTAACTGTATTAGTTGGGATAGACTGAGCTGCTGTTTACAGTGACCCAGTATAGTACCCTCGTCACTTGAGCAACAGTAGTAATAACGGACATTTCTATAGCATATACTATTCGCCTGGCACATTACATGAATTAACTCCTTTAACTCTCCCAACAATACTATGCATGGGTATCTCCATTTTATAGATGAGGACAGTGAAAGGGAAAGTGTTAGTCTTAGACAAAAATAACTTATGTAACTTGTTCAAGGTCACGTAGTTAGTAAATGGAGGAGTCAAGATTTGAATTAGGTATTCTGTCTCCAGAGCCCATTTACTATATTGCCATGAAATAGATTTTTTTTCCCTCTCACATATCTGTTTAGAAGATGGGCAGGTCAGGTGATCCTGGACAGTAGGTATCTGTGCACCATGTTATCAAAGGAAAAAGATTCTGTTTTCATCATTTCCTATGGTATTTTCCTTATGTGCATGTGGAAAAGAGTATTCTGTCTCCAGAGCCCATTTACTATATTGCCATGAAATAGATTTTTTTTCCCTCTCACATATCTGTTTAGAAGGTGGGCAGGTCAGGTGATCCTGGACAGTAGGTATCTGTGCACCATGTTATCAAAGGAAAAAGATTCTGTTTTCATCATTTCCTATGGTATTTTCCTTATGTGCATGTGGAAAATGGTAATGAAAGAAAATGGAGGGCAGTTTCCTTTTTAAAGAATGTGACCTGGAGTTTGTATTGACAACTTTGCCTCACATACTGTTGGCCAAAACTTAGTCATATGACTGTAACTACTGTGAAGGGGGCTGGAATCTATAACCTCTAGCTAAAACTCAGAGGTTTGGATACTGAATTGAAAGAGAGAACAGATACTTGGAGAGTGGAAAGGAGTTTATAATCTTCACTATAATAAGTCACATTGGAAGTAGAAGTAAAAAACTGTCTAAAGAAGGGTACATCAGCGAGATGGAGGGGTAGGGGTTCCAGTGCTCATCTCCCCTGAAAATACAGCAAAAACAATAAATAGCAAATGAAAATATAATGAAAATATGTCAGCTCTGGATTTGAATGAACAAGCATCAGAAACCCCGTAGAGCTCAAAACCCAAGATTGGCCACACAGAAAAGAACAGGGGGCATTTTATTTCTCTTGCTCGATCTCCCAGTCCACGGCACTTTGGCATCAGGAAGGTTCTCCTGAGTAGAGTTTTCCCACGGAGAGCAGAAGAACTGCAGTGAACCTCACCACCGTGCATCTCTTAGGTCGGTTACATTGGCAGGTGGCTTCTTTACCACTCGCACCATCAGTAACTGAGCTTAAAAAATGGGGATCTGGGAGTTATCTGAAAAAGAATTCAAAATGATTAAGGAAGCTCAGATAATTCAAGAGAAGACAGATTAACAGTTCATTGAATTTAGGAAAACTATACATGAACAAAATGAGAATTTCAGTGAAGAGAAAGAAATCATAAAAAGAACAAAACAAATTCTGGACCTGAAGAATACACTGAATAATGCAGTAGAGAACTTCAGTATCAGGCTTAGTCAAGCAGAGGAAAGAATCTGTG